TATGCAGCTACAAACGAAGCGCCTGGTATTGCAGACGGAGAGGGATCAAGTTATGGTCACCTAAACTTTTTTTGGGGGAAAAAGTGGGAGAAACTCTCGCAACGACCGTGGGGGAGTTCTTCCAATTCTGGGAGAACTCTACCAATTCTAGGATCCTTCTCCCAAGTTTGCAAGATATGTACGATGTAATGCGCATTGTCCGTCACCCCTTTCGTGCTCTAACCGTTACAATTCTGATGCTCATGTATTCACGTAGACGTTCTTGCTTTCTCCTTGAGCTTAGCCAACTCCGCAGGACTAATTTTGGCTTTCGGGAGCCGCTTTCCGTATTCCATATATCCCAACACGAGCGGCAGATTGGCTGCGAGCACAACACGCACCACTGTCGCATCTTAGATCCACCTTTCTTTTGGAAACGCTTCTGCCTGTACATTATAGTATGAGTAAACGAACACAAACTACAATATGCAGCCCTCCCTTTGATTGCCTGATGCTCTTCATAACCGTTTAGACGCCTTACTGAATACTCCCTTCTGTTGTACTTTTGTACAACATCCGTTGTGTACATGTGCCTCATGTTGGCATGCGTTCCAGCCTGAAAATTGCCCTGGTTCCCTGTTGAGTATATAATATTTCTGTTAGAGACCATTTGGCAGAGGGTCGTGTTGGAGTCTCGCCTTTCCGACTCCATGTTAACATATTCCCGTGCAAGACACCTCGCAAAAGACCAAAATGCTGCACACGATGTTACAAGATGACGCGTTTTCTTATATCCTTCTTTCGTAGTAGCATGCTCCTCTGAAGCCAATAAATACCCTTTTGTGCGTGCGATAGCTATGCGATGAACAATTGCAGCGTTACAAACCTGCCCACAAATCAGTCTCCCAATTATACTAACGATCGGGTTTTCGCTCGAGTTAGTGTAGGCCAAGCTTTTCAGTGCCCGACTGACTTCATCTACACCCCCCTTCAAGGCGTTCCATTAAACCAACAATGTAGGACGTATCATTCTACTGGGCGGTAACGGCCCGTTAGCATCTACGAGCCTTTTATAGCCCCTACACAAATTATAATGCGAGACCAATGAATACAGATCAGGGGAGTGGCTTCCACTTAGTAAAAGGTCGTATTCAGAAGGTATGTGAGAGGCATGTTTGCCCACACAGTCAAAGGCACTTAATCGCACTGCATTCATCCAAAAGGAATAAGAGGATGTCGCCACATCTGCAAACTCTATAAGGGCTGCATATAGTATTTCCCCAACTCCATTGTGGCTGCCTTTTGCAACAATATATAAAACCCTCCTCAGTGACGTTACTAAACAATGGTGAATACATTGAAACCTGTACCCCGTGGTATCCACTAATTACTTGAAATGAGCTGCAGCAGATGCAGAGTTCCCTACATCTTCTATAGAAACAAATCGGCTGTAGGCGTCCCTCCTCCTTTTTGCCTTCTGAATTGTATTGGGAGATGCCATGGTTTTCACTTCTATGGCAGCACAAACAGCATTCCCATCATCATGTGTTAGCCCTATCAGTCCATCAGGGCCATCTGCGAGCATTGGGTTTGATTTTGACGCAACAAGGCCAACACTTCGGACGTAGTCCGCTCTATATTGGGTACCGAATAAAGGAAGCAGTTTCTGATGCGCAACTGAAGCATCGAAAACACAGTGTTTTTCAATAAAAGCTGGTATGGCCCTTAGAACCTGTATTTCATTGACCGTGCCCTCCTTCATACCAGCCGTTGATACTAATGGCTTCATCGCCCAGGAGTCGAGTGAGGTCTTATAAAGGTTTGTGCGGAGAATAGCAGCATTTCCTCTATATATATCTTCTTGATTAGAAGATGGACCTTGCGTTGCTGGCACACCAATTCCATTTCGGAACTGTGCCTGGTACCTTTTCACAGCATCAATGAGTTGTGGCTTTCTCATCGTTCTCTTTTCCCTTTTGCCAACAGTTAATAAAAGTGAAATTATATTGTCTTTGCGAAGATTTTGTACTGCAGTCGAAGACATAGCAAGGAAAGCGTTAAGATCTTCTGAAGTTACCACAACACTATCGTTCTGTTTCCGGAGCCCAGTTATTCTCTGGATTCTGTCCCACTTATCGTCAAGCTGCTCCTTCACTTCGCAAGGTTCAAGGCTGAGCGGCTGCGTCATTGGAGTGAGGCGTTTGCCGCCTAAAATGTGGCTCATTCCTGTGAGACTAACATTGTAGTCACGAGATATAGCAGCAAAAAAGTTGCTGCCAGTGCGAGATGTGAACTTGAATGCTCTTGCCAAAAACCACGCAGGATCTTCCGACTGCATGACCGTCACATGCCGTAGATTGGAAAGTGTTTGAACGACTTTAAGAACTGTAGCACTGTACTGGAGCTCTCTTTCACGTAAATTGTAGCTATCTGCCATGTGCTGGTCGCTTCGACGGTCGTAGATGACCTGTATCTGTTCCACTTGTTCAGATGTAAATGAAGACCTGTAACCTTCCTTCGATACCATACAAAATTTATGGGCACCGAAGCTGCTTACATCATTGCTATATACAGCAGCGATGCGACCTGAGTAACTTTCCCGATAAACGGAGGCCTCCACACTTCGACCTTGACTTGTGACTTCCACGTGGCTTTTTATGGCACTGTACACAGCTCGGTATCCCCGCTCCGACACAGCCATACCGTTGTGTTTTTGTGAAATCGGCCCTTCTCCGAAAACGGAAGGGAAGTTCAACGACCTCTTGTGGGTTCCTAACCCAGTAGCACAGAGCATTTCGTTGATAAATCTAATTGTTTCAACTTGATTGTATCCCCGGTCTGCTGCGAACAATGCATCTACCATCGGCCTGATTGAGCCAGCTGTGGGTACACCTTGTAACAACTGCACCAGCCTGTGCCAAACATCAATGATTTTTTCATTAGGGCGTGAGTAGTGACTGGTTATAAAAGTATGCGTTAAAGCTGAGCATACAGCATTATTCACCGGTCCCAGAGCTTTATTCGGGTTGTTTATCTGTGCTAGGTTGGTGAGATGCAAGACCGACCCAGAGCTCAGACGGTTATGGTCATCGTCCAATGAGTATATAGTTATACCCTCCACGTTGACAAGCTCCCTGTTAATAGCGCCTAGTTCCGCTTCCATTTACGTTATGAGATATTTGCCTACAGTAGGCTTGTTGAACCAACCGAAGGCATTTGCATCAAAACGCTGCCGGTTTTCTTTAGTGCAAGACAACGCAATCCATACCTCTTTGTACCTCTGCCCTGTAATGCCCATTTGTTTAAAGAAAGCTTCATTTTCCGGTGCAGTGATGGTAGCTGCACAGCTGTTGTACGACGCAGCCAATACGTGTAAGATGGTGACCACTTTCAGCTCAAATGTTTTAACTCGTCTTTTTTTCTTCCAGTTAAGCAAAGCACTTTACTGATATGCGGACGTAGCTTTTGCATTCGATTGCTTCATTCCGCTATCCATCCTATAGGATGGATAGCGGAATGAAGCAATCGAATGCATCAATACGGCGGAGGTTGCTCGCATCCACAGCTTTATCACGCAGCACACTTGCCTTTGTAATTACGTTGTCAAGGATTTCATTTGATTCCAGAATATATTTTGGGCAGAGTTCAAGATCAACAACGTCGATTAAAAGCTCTATTGTTTCAAAAGGGGTCGCGTAGTCCCAATCTGGAAGCTCGGTAGCATCTCGCATATCGCGTGACAGGTTTTCAACATGTGCCGTATCCTGTGTTTGCATAGGAAACTCCAAGTCCGTGCCAGGCGGTGCATTGATACACTCAGAAGCATAGCCGTTGAAAAGAGCGGAGAAGTGGTCCTGTATTGCAATAGTAGTACCTGAAACATGATTGCTAATAGACTGTGTCGGATTACGTTCGCATCCTAGAGCGACCAGCTCAGAGTCAAACACAGAAATACTGTTGTCATCTGAACTTTCAGATAGCTCATCAACAGGACCATCACATTCTATCTGCGTTTGCTCTTGAGAAAACGGCAAATCGGTAGAAGATAAAGAGTCAAGTTGGCCGGGTTTTGCATTGGGGATATCGGTCTGTTCTGTTCAGCACGGCGAGGCCACACTCCAATATGACGTGGAACATAATGGGGTGGTACAGGAGAAAGGGAAGCAATACGTTGGGGCGAAGTGCAGACAAGTTGTTCTGCAACTGGGGCATGGATCGGCGACAGGGGACCGGGGGAGAGGGGATCTTCGCTGAAGAGATCGGCATCGATGCTATCATCAACTGACAACACCACGTTCCGCTCGCTCATTTCGTATTGTACACGACAATGTGGACAACAGTAGTACTGAGGCCTCGGTGAACAGTAAGGCAGGGTGTTACCTGGAGGATCATGAAATGTTTAAGGGAGAGAGTGGTGCGGATGCCTTGTTAAAGAAGGTGAGTGAGCTGTGGTGTGCGTGAGAGAGTGGGAGAGAGTGGGAGAGAGCGGAAGAGAGCGGGAGAGAGCGAGAGAGAGTGGGAGAACTGGGAGAAATCAGAGAACTGGGAGAAGTTTGGGTGACAAATGGGAGACTCTCCCTGATGACTTGGGAGAACTTCTCTCAAATCCCGGCGCCGGGAGAACATTAAAATTCTCCCAAATTCTCCCAAATTTTCACTCACGCTGGGAGAAGAATTTTGTTCTCCCAGGGTGCACAGGGATAGGCAGTGTTTCGGATCTTTACGCCAATTTGCACTTTTTGGGCTTGTAGACCAAAGCGTTTTGTTTTGGGCGAGATTTGGGACCAAGTCCAAAATTTGGGCATGGATTTGGGAATTGGGCTGGTGGGTGGGGTTGATTTCAGACCAAAATCTGGACCAAACCCGGATTTTGGTCTTTGGGCTGATGCGGTGGGGATGCTCTTACGCATCACCATCATTGGTAGTGTAGGAAAGGCATGGCTCCGGAGTCCGGACCGCCGCGCTTGCGGTCGCCCGACATACTGTACACCTACATATTTATGGTGATTTATTGAACCATCTCAAACCCATTCGATGGCTGCGCTTTGCCGGTTGATTATTAAAGTGACCTGCAGTCGTCTTCCTAACATTTCCTCCAAGACGTTTGCAACAACGAACTTGTTCCGACTCGTCAGGCCATCGTCCAGGTCGCAGCTGGACCTTCCAAACATTACTTGGGTCCACGCTACATGTCCGCGACTGAAATTTGATGTAAATCCATCCATGGCGACCAAAAGCCGTATTGATTCACCCATGCCTCCATGGAGCAGAATCTGGAACTCACCACAATCCGTAAGTATCTGATACTGACTGAGCGACACACGAAAAACTAGTGCGTACAGGGGGTCCGTTTCTGTATACTCGACAGATCCTGATGCCCATTCAAACCATCCGTTATATGATCCCTCGCTTTTCAGTCGTCGGCTTTTATCCAGGTACTTATTCGGCCTCGGCAGGTACTGGATGTTGTGTGACAGGTGTAGACCCCCAATGATTTGGTAGCACTGACGCCGCCGCAGGTTCGCCACCCGCAATTTCCAATCACTGCCTACGATGATCGAACTTGTTTCCAACAGAATATTCCATTTGGCCAAGTCCTTCAGTTCTTCTACATCTTCTTGCCACCCCGTTTGCAACCCGTCCACCGCTCCATGAAAGATGTTCAACAGCAACAGCCTCATGCTCTCTTCCGGTTCACATTTGTGCCGCAACTGAAATGAGAGCCATCGTCGACTTCCAGTATCCATCGTCTTGCCTCGCAGCTCCCTCGTTATGATCACTCCCATCGACCACAGCCCCGCAACCTCCTCCACAAACGGCCACATCCGCTCGTTAGTGTCAAGCGTCTTCTCTCCCCCCGCTGCCTTCACCCCAAGGCTTATCACAGGCCACATCACATACGGCATCAGTCCGGTGTGCGCCCAAGCCCCTTGACTCGCATCCCTCAACCACAAACATTGATCCAGCCAGATTCGTATCTCCTTTACACCGCTTCCGAAGATCTCCTCACATGCCGCTTTGAAGCTGTCCCATTGCTCGACTGAAAACTTGAACCTCCCCGTCGGCGTGTCCGAGTGCACATATGATATTGCGAAGCATGGTATCTTGTCATTGCGCTCTCGAAAGTCCGGTTCACACGCCGCGTTGTCAGAACTCTTTAGCTGCTGCGCAAACAACTCCAGATCCCCGTTGCTTCCAACCTGCAAAACTCGTGACAAACCCTTCCTGGCCTCCAGGACAGCAGTGTCACCCAGAACAACTCGCGCAGAGTGTGGGCGCGTTTGAACCTGCATCAGCAAGTCTTGGCTAATAATCTCCCCCCAGCCCTTTCGCAACTTTCCTCCCGTGGTTCCTGAGTTTCCTGGCGGCGCCGGCGGCCGTGCTGTACCGCCTGGGCCGGAGACATTCAATTTGCCCATGAGGTTTGTGAGTTTTCCACCAGCCATTGCTGCCAGTACATTCGGTGCAGAAGTCGAGTTTGTAGCAGATGACGACTGTGGCGCAACAAGTGCATGTGATACTGAAGCAGAAGATATGTTGCTTGCCGATGAAGCATTCGATGATGCGTACCCATATTGACTTTGCGCATGCGGATGCGGTTGTGGGTTGACCGGCTCAAGTGGAGGGGCTGAAGGCTGATGTTGCGGGTGTTGAACTTGTGCCACCGGATAGCCCGGGCCCCCGGTCGAAGTGCCTTGGTGCGGCTGCTGTTGTGGGTCATATCCCGGCACGCCATGTGGAGGCACGTGCGGGTGCTGTTGTGGTGCATATCCCGGCATGCCCTGTGGAGACACATGCGGGTGCTGTTGTGATGCATACCCCGGTACGCCATGTGGGGGCACGTGCGACTGGCTTGTGCCGTACGGGGTGTTCTGCGGGGTGTGTGCATAGCCCGGATATGGAATGTGACCGGACTGCGAAGAGTGGATATTGTTCATCTGGTGCCCAGGAGCTCCTCCGGCGCTGGGATATCCTGGCGGTTGGACATGATGCGAGCTCGGCTCTTGCTGCGAGGCGTGCGGCTGCGAGGCGTGCGGCTGGTACGTCTGATCGTGGGGTGGATACTGTTGGGAATGAGGTTGGTATGCGTACGGCTGGGGTTGGTGGGGCGGATATGCCGGTTCGTGGACCGGGGGATACTGATGCTGATGTGGAGGGGCGGATTGCTGGTTCGGGTAGGCGGGAGCGGAAGAGTAGTTGTTCTGGACGTTCTTGAATGCGCCAAGGACGAACTTACCGACCTTCTTCGCGGCCAATTTGCCCAGGTCACCCGCGACGGAGCGGTCTTCGTCCATGCCTCGAACGGGTGGGGTCGACAGGATTGTGTGCGTGGGGGTGAGGGGAGTGGCGAGCGAAGCAGATTCTCGTGACAACAAGCATTCAAAGTCCGGTGCGGGGGGAGAGCACCGGGTAGAGTATTTGACAAGACAGCTTGCCTACGGCAAGCCCGCCTTGTTGGCAGTTGTTCGGCGCCTGCGAGTCGGCACTGAACGGCAAGTGTTGACATGGGATACTGAAAGGTTTTGAAGCCAGAGCTACAGTCGACAGTATCGTCGGGCATGTTACAGTACGGGACTGTATTCAGTCCATATTATGCACTGGACTGTATGATCCGTTGCCAACAGAGACGACGGCAGCGTTGAAGGTGAGGATTTGTCGTCGAAAGGGGGCCTTGTGCTTCGCGTGCACTGCTCTCTGTACGATCAGGGAGCGGGATTGGCGCGCGGGGAAAAGGAGAGAAAGGATAGTATGAGAAGGGAAGTAGAGGGGGGGGGTGAGTGATCCGGCGTTGCGCCTTCAGGGGTGAGAACGGGCTCCGGCTTGTGCCTTCGCAGACTAGAGTAGCGTAGAGTTGCTTGCTCGAGTTGTTTATTGTTCTGTCTCTCGGCGTGGGGAGCTCGGACGTGGGCGTAGTACATATAGGTCCATGTAAGCTTGCCGTCTGCGGGGACGGTAAGCTTACAGCCCATGTTCTGTAAGCACGCGGGATCTCAATACCCAAAAAGGTGCATGCACCTTTTTGTGCGGTGTTATCATATCAAATACGCCGTACAGTATATATGCGCGTGCGCGACAGGATTGCTATGTCATCTATCCGCATAAGATGGCGAGGCGAAATTCTACCGCACGGTAAATTGGGTGCATATCATACTACAGTGCCTCCTACGATATACAGAGCCTCCTACGATATAGTGCTATAGCGTGACATACCTCTAGCTATGGCACTATTGGGGGGATGGCACTATATAAAGGAGGCTCAAATACATATATTTGGGGACAAAGCACACCGCTAACACAAACACAACAAAGCCTGTATAACACAACTAAATAACTTCATCCTTTGAGTACTGAACCATGCCGGATGATACACGTGTGAGCTTATGATAACCTGCCAGAGGGTGAGCCATAGCACTATATAGAGGAAAGCACTACTAAAGTAGGCACTATTGAGCCACCCCCCCCTGTAATTGGTTTCATACATGATGGACCAGAAAGGGGTGCCCCACCTTGCTGGCATGATGCAACCCATCAGATGACGGGGGCCCCACTACGTCGATTGCAGCTCGTTTTGGGGGGGATGCCCAACTTTGGCCCAACAGAAAAGCACTCAAACTGAGGGCCATTCCATTCATCGTGATTGGCAATCACGCAATCACGTCAATAAATGGTGCCTGCTCCCTTGTGGTTGGTTGTTTATATTACGTTTCCTAAAAAATGGTCATGCTCATTAAAGAAATAAACAATCGACTTAAAATTAATCTTGTGCTCCAACTTGCAGAACGACGTTAAATTAATGTCGTGATCGCGTGATTGCGTGATTGCATGATTGCCAATCACGATGAATGGAATGGCCCTGAGTGAGCGCTGTAACCGTTCTGCATCTAATACGGCGGGGTGATTTTAATTTGAAGGTTCATACATATCCTGCATTGCCAGGATTTGGTCCCGCCAAACCAGTTTTCAGTACTTCAGACAGTTGCAACTTACCTCATAACCCAACTGATGCAGACTGCTCGATAGTTGCCGCGAAAACGAAACGGCAAGTGCGGGCTGCTCGTCGCCAGAAGGGCGCTGCAATTTCGCGAACGAGGCGCGCTTTGCAGCTTCCCACTGCCAAACAGATCGGAGATGGACAGTAGGTTTTCCATCTTTCGTAATCTCCGGAACAGAGATACTAAAATACGAATAAAACATTGATACATTGTTGCAAATTAGACCGTTACACGACGCTCGCCACTTTTTCGGAGTGTCCGAAAATGGGCTCTATATGGGGGTTTTCTGTGGCTTTGCAGAGACTGTAGTTGTCGTTTGGTGGCATTGAGAACAGGATGAGACGTGCTCCTTCGTCTTGGTATTTCCGTCCTTTTGTCGGATTTTGAATCTGATTTGCCATTGCGAAAATATGAAGGAAAGCGCTGGCTTGCCCAAGGTATGGTGGAAAAATCGTCACATTAGATGCAGAACGGTTACGAGTGCGGCGTGATGGTAGACTTCGTGTTGTATCTTTTCCGGTTGTATCACCCTCGCGCACCGGGTTTTTGTCAACAAAAAGTACCAACTGATCTTCCGCGACCCCTTTCCCGAACATGACGGTACGCCTCCTGTGATGTGGTCTACACTACGGTACGTGCACCGCAGCGCTCTTTCAAGTTCAACAACTGTAAATGCAGCAATGGCCTTTCGCTTTGACAGCAAATTCGTAGTTGCAGCTCACCCCGCACAGGCCTACAGACCCCAGACAACGTACCCCTCCCGCTCGAGCAATGGACGGAGACCGCTCCGTCGCGGGTGATCTGGGCAAATTGGCCGCGAAGAAGGTCGGCAAGCTCGTCCTTGGCGCATTCAAAAACGTCCAGAACAACTACTCTTCCGCTCCCGCCTATCCGGACCAGCAATCCGCCGCCCCGACTCAGCAACAATATCCCTCCGTCCACACACCGGCATATCCGCCCCACCAACCCTACCCGTACGCATACCAGCCCCACGCCCAACAGCACCCGCCACCGCCTTACCATCACACGTACCACCCGCACGCCTCGCAGCCGCACGCCTCGCACAAGAGCCCAGCTCGCATCATGTCCAACCGCCAGGATATCCAAGCACCGGAGGGGCTCCTGGGCACCAGGTGAACAATATCCATTCTTCGCAGTTCGGTCACATGCCATATCCAGGCTATGCACACACCCCGCAGAACACCCCGTACGGCACAAGCCAGTCGCACGTGCGTCCACATGGCGTATCGGGGTATGCATCACAACAGTACCCGCACGTGCCTCCACATGGCGTGTCGGCGTATGCATCACAACAGCACCCGCACTTGCCTCCACATGGCGTGCCGGGATATGACCCACAACAGCAGCCGCACCAAAGCATTTCGACCGGAGGCCCGGGCTATCCGGTGGCACAAGTTCAAGTTGAACTGTTCAACACCCGCAACATCAGCCTTCAGCCCCTCCACTTGAGCCAGCCAACCCACAACCGCATCCGCATGCACAAAGTCAATATGGGTACGCACCATCGAATGCTTCGTCGGCAAGCAACATATCTTCTGCTTCAGTATCAAATACATTTGTTGCGCCACAGTCGTCATCTGCTGCAAACGTGGCTTCTGCACCGAATGTACTGGCAGCAATAGCTGGTGGAAAACTCACAAACCTCATGGGCAAATTGAATATCTCCGGCCCAGGCGGTACAACACGGCCGCCGGCGCCGCCAGGAAACTCAGGAACCGCAGGAGGAAAGTTGCGAAAGGGCTGGGGGGAGATTATTAGCCAAGACCTACTGATGCAGGTTCAAACGTGCCCACACTCTGCGCGAGTTGTTCTTGGTGACACTGCTGTCCTGGAGGCCAGGAAGGGTTTGTCACGAGTTTTGCAGGTTGGAAGCGACGGGGATCTGGAGTTGTTTGCGCAGCAACTAAAGAGTTCTGACAATGCAGCGTGTGGACCGGACTTTCGAGAGTGCAATGACAAGATACCATGCTTCGCAATATCGTATGTGCACTCGGACACGCCGACGGGGAGGTTCAAGTTTTCAGTGGAGCAATGGGACAGCTTCAAAGCGGCATGTGAGGAGATATTCGGAAGCGGTGTAAAGGAGATACGAATCTGGCTGGATCAATGTTTGTGGTTGAGGGATGCGAGTCAAGGGGCTTGGGCGCACACCGGACTGATGCCGTATGTGATGTGGCCTGTGATCAGCCTTGGGGTGAAGGCAGCGGGGGCGGAGAAGACGCTTGACACTAACGAGCGGATGTGGCCGTTTGTGGAGGAGGTTGCGGGGCTGTGGTCGATGGGAGTGATGATAACGAGGGAGCTGCGAGGCAAGACGATGGATACTGGAAGTCGACGATGGCTCTCATTTCAGTTGCGGCACAAATGTGAACCGGAAGAGAGCATGAGGCTGTTGCTGTTGAACATCTTTCATGGAGCGGTGGACGGATTGCAAACGGGGTGGCAAGAAGATGTAGAAGAACTGAAGGACATAGCGAAATGGAACGTATTGTGTGACACTGAACATGCAATTGTGGGAAGCGACTGGAGATCACGAATGGCCAAACTTGAACGAAGGTCGATTTCTGGTCTGGTTGAGGAGCTGATGCTGGATAATGAGCCGAACAAGTACCTCGATCTAAGCCGCAGAGTAAATAACGAAGAAGGGTGGACGGGAATTTCTGAATGGGCATCTGGGGTAGGCAAAGATATCTCTGGCACGACTATATCTGATGAATTCGCAGACACTAGTCAGTATCAAGTGATGACAGACTGCGGAGAATTTCAAATTATAAGGTGGCACGATTACGAATCAGAGATGTGCCTTCTGGTCGCGATGGATGGAAGAAGCTCCGACTTTAGTCGCGGTCATGTACAATGGACTCAAGTGATGTTTGGTGAGTCCAGCCGCTTGCTTGATGATGCGCTTAGCGAGGAAAAGATCTTCGTGGTTGAAGGAGCTCTTCGCGAACATTTAGGGATACGGGTTGTAATTACTTCAATTGTGAACAGAAGCGGCGCTCCGATCCAATGGACATAGAGATCGACGGACATTTTGCATCACTAGACTAGAGGGAGTTTTTCTTGATCTTGATGGAACGTCACTGTGGGAATGAGCAAGAGTTTTGGCTGAGAAGATGTCGATCACAGGATGGATACGCCCGAGAGAAGATCGAAGTGTGGACAATCAATTGACAGGTTGCAAGTCGCGGCTTTTGTCAGGGTGAGGGAAGTTACAATAAAGCCCGTCGGTGGGTTTTAGACACAAGGGTGTGTCTGTGGAGTTTGCCATCCCCAGCGGGCCTCCTACCAGGTGCATGTTGCGAGTTTGGCCAAAGAAAGTACGGTATATCTTGACGAAGTGTGTATGAAGCATTCTTTAAATTTTGATCGATTTTGGTTTCTGTATTTGAGAACCTGACCGACTTTGCGTCCCCCATGAAACGTCTATCGTTGGAGCAGCGCTGGTGGAACACGCTCTGTCCTTCGGGTAAGCATTTAGTCTGGAGGCCAAGTGATTCGCCTCAACTCAAGCAATTGTTTTCATGAATCGGAAGGTCGAGTTCAATCGCATTGCTAAACCGTACGAGTCACAGTGTGGACTCCATACCGTTTAGTTTCCTGATAAAAATCAGATTCGGAATCGTGTCTACATCCACAGGTTGCACGGACACTACACGTACTGTACCCTTCTCATTGGCTTGATGTGGGACACAGAAAAGTTATGATAAAATATGCGAATGCAGTGCGTATTTGAGGAAAAATGCCTTTATTTGGACGGGAGAATTGGTCTCCAAAGTTTGGAGTCCAAACTATGCCTGCGTCAAAGTGGGACGACGAGACATCTCATGTCTTTCACGCTTCATCTGTAATGGGAGAGACCCAACAAAGCCGACGCTGCCGTGTGCTTCCGGGTCCTAAACAACTCGCCTTCGTCAACCTGCATCCGCCGTTTTCGGGCTCTTGGCCATTGCGAGATGGGCAAGTCGTCGCCAACTATGTCTTCGAGAGGCGACACCGCAGACTGCGCTTTCAGACGTTTTTGAGAGTCACTATTTTCTTTGTTTGCAGTATCATTCTCTACATTATACTCCTGAATGTGATAAACGTCGGGTACGGGCGCCTTTGGAGGATTCCGTCCCTCCAAACGAGCACGAGTGGACTGCAAATTGCCAACCGTCGCTGCGTTTCTTGTTGCGAGGAATTTTCTATTAGATTTCTTAGGTTTGGGATTCTTTGACAGGCATACATCCTTTCTTAGAATTTTGCGCAACACATAATCATTATTGAGAGCGACGGAAACCTCTGCTAAAGCATGAGGAGCAGAAACTGACCGTTTGTCAGAGCATGACTGTTTGTCAGAGCATGACTACTTTTCATCAAACGAATATATTTAATTCGTTGCGAAATAGTTTAGCAAAATCATATGGCGAAACTATGCGGCGCGGCATTATAATTTTGGTGTCCCAATTTGAGCCGTGTCACACACTACGCCAATGAGAAGGGTACTGCATGGTGTACTTCGTGCATTGATTGCCTAGATTTCACATGATCTTTGAGAATATGAAAGGAATTATCCCTAAACGCAGTGAGTAGTGTTGAAGAAACAAAATTACGCTTTATTACCTAAAGATCTCGGCCTAGAAATGCTTACCGTTCCTTGAATTCCTGGATGATTGCCCCCGTCTTTCGCTGTCCCTATTGGTGCGGACATAAAACGTTGATACAACGGCCAAAGCAGCGTAGTGGCGCGTGTTTCCATGCCACCCCGGGCCGCTATCCTAGCGATACTACCCGCTTCGGCGGATGAGGACCACTTTCGGCTTGATTTGGGGCGTGCATCTATGAATCACCTGAGTTCGAGTTCTGCTTTGGTAAGCTTCAAGATAAGGGGGTACTTCTAGGATGAGGGGGGTAAGTAGCGACGGGAGATCGCATTAACTTACCAAGCGTGTGCGTGAAAACATTCTTGAATGGTTAAGCCATAGAAGAAAGAGTAGGGAGAGAACAGAACCAGTGATGACTTGATGACTGAGCAGCGAATCTGAGGGTGGGATGGTGGGAGAACAAGCGACGACTTGATGCAGAGAGAGGAGTGGTGAGAGAGTTTTGACGTGCTTCTTTTATACAGCCCTGTTTTCGGACAGTGGCCGAATTTCATTTCTGCCAAGTTCCATTACGCGAATGAAGAATCATTTTCAAGTGATAGTGGGGGTGCCAAACCATGGCGTGTGACTTGGTGCTGATTATTTTTTCTGCCAAGTTTCATTACGCGAATGAAGAATCATTCCCAAGTCATAGTGTGACTTGGTGCTGATTCTTGTTTTTGCCAAGTTTCATTACGCGAATGAAGAATCATTCCCCAAATCATGGCGTGTGGCTTGGCGCTGACTTGTCGCCAAGTCATCCTGACTTGGATTTGTACGGCTGAAATGGTCCACTTGTCTTCCACTTTCGGCTGAGTTGTCGTGCGTTCCAGCCAAAAAGCCCCCTTGTCCAGATTCACCTTTCAATTGCCAATGAATGCACTAAAACATTTGTGTTCAATGGATTTGACAAGGAGGAGCTAGTACTGTAGTTCGCTGCATGTGCATGTCCTTCAGTAGTGTATATGACTGTGATTCCAGAATTTTCTGCATCGAAATTCTTCTGAAACCATATGAAGCCTGGAAAACGAATCTTAATATTATTTTTTGAGCCCTATAAAAAGCTTCACCAAGGCAACAATTTTGCATCATATGAGGCTAATTGCTGACAGAAAACCCACGATAAATACTGTACAGCCCTGCACAGACGACGGGATAGAGTACAGTGCCTCCTACGATATAGTGCTATAGCGGGACATACCTCTCTCTAGCTATGGCACTATTGGGGGGATGGCACTATATAAAGGAGGCTCAAATACATATATGTGGGGACAAAGCACACTGCTAACACAAACACAACAAAGCCTGTATAACACAACTAAATAACTTCATGCTTTGAGTTCTGAACCATGCCGGATGATACACGTGTGAGCTTATGATAACCTGTGCCAGAGGGTGAGCCATAGCACTATATAGAGGGAAGCACTACTAAAGTAGGCACCATTGAGCGACCCCCCCAGCAAGGAGCACATACTGTAATCATGGGGCTGATCAGTGATCTATTTGTACTACAAAGGGGGAGGGAGCAGTAGGAGTTTCTACAACTTGCACACTTGCATGACTTGCAGCCTGTTCCTCCCAAAACCGCAAATTCTCTCTTTACTGCCATCCCCAAAATACAAAAAATTCAAAAAATTCAAAAAATAGCCATGCACAACTTGCTACAGTACGGTATCGCGCCGAGCAGATTGCTTGTGCTATTTCGACGCTTTCCACTGCCCATTGCTCCCCGTCAATGTACATTGCGGTTCCCTCGTCATT